AGAGAGAGAGAGAGAGAGAGAGAGAGAGAGAAACATATTACGAGACAGCAGTAACATGAGGAAACAAAGAACAACGTAAATAGAAGAAAAAAAATAGTAGACTATAATTATAACTACAAGACAGTTTCTATGACAAGAAGCATAAGGTTTCATTGACAATTGCTTCATCTCTATCGAGGATCTCAAAATATAAAAGTGTCATACATGTAACTCAGGTACCAGATTAGATCCAGCCTGTCGCAGTTTGCAACATCAGAACATCAGCTGCTATTTTATTAACAGTGTGAGTTTTCAAAAACCTGAGTCTGTGGGTGGTTGGCGGGTGCTCTGGTGTGGCTTGCCTTCTTTCCTATCAAACATCTGTCGTCTTTATCTCCCCTACTTTTCTTTTATGTTTGTCACTTTCTTGTAACACCTCTAATCTTGGGCACTTATATGACCTTATTGTGTTGCAAGTGCCATAAAACACTTACTAAAACTAAACTAAAAACGGGCATCTGTGTTGTAACGATTAAGCACTTCGCTGCCGCACACAGAAGACTTGTGTTCCCTTCCCGCATGGGGACATTTTTATCCCCGTATCTCAGTCTTTCTTTTTGGGCGTTGTATCCCTCGCAGCCTTAGTTGAATCTCGTATCCCAAGGGATCTAAATAGCGTCTACATTTAAAAAAACAACAACAACAATCCCCCCTCCTCACAGTTCACAAGAAATATTCACGCATTTCACGTTACACAATTATTAGCCCAAGGGATTTATAGTATTGTTTCTTGTGAGTTCAGGATAAAGTCATCAATACCCGCTTACGTCACTAAAGATGTGCGGATTATGGGAATCGTGAGTGTGCATTTTGGTAATCAAGATATTGCGCACATGAAAAAAAAAAAAAAAAAAAAGAACAGCAGTAACAAATCTCTTCTCAATCTGAAAAGTAATTAGGATCTGCTTTTTTCCCCCCTTAAAAAAAAGTGTTTTACGGTCCCCGCAACTGCATCAGGTCATATGAGCGCACGGGACACACCAAACATTTTAAGTTGGTAGGAAATTTTTAATTTTGCCCCGGTGGCGGCCGAAGCCTTCTCTTATCGATTTTACACTACCAAGGGATCTTTAACGTGCGCAACTTGCTCACCGGACCTCCGAGATTGTTTGCTCTTGTCCGAGAAGGCTAGTTCTTTCCTACCACAAGATCAGGGGTGTGGTTGAAAGACAGCAGTAAGAAGGAGCCAATGAGTAGCAGTAGAAAGGCAGCAGAAAGAGTCAGTTTTACCTGATAATGTCCACATTTAGATCTAATGTTAGAGTGTATAGTGAAAAGACAGTGAGTAAGAGCGCAGTCAATGTTAATAAACTAAAGAATGTGAACCATGAATAGGTCGCTGCTCTATATGTTATGTATATAATTTTACATACATTTTCATAGTAGACGTCTACAAGAACGCTGGTGGTTATCTATTGGGCGTTGAAAAAAAAAACTTTTGATCTTAACTTATAGGAGTGATAAACATTGTGTACAAAAGAGTTGGAGCGATTCGAGAAAAGAAACTAAACGATTTATCAGAGCAGCTGGTTGCAACATCTACCATTACGGGTAGACTGCCAAAGACCCTTTTTGGAGAGTGAGCCGTCTTAAAGTTTAAAAAAAAATTAATCTTAAAATAAACGTAGGGAAAAATAAGAAAATCTTCGATAGTATTGGGATA